ACTGCTGTGCGCGTTCATTCGTTACCTATGTTATGCAGAGACGGGTTGCAGTTGAAAAGCCGTCACGAAATTTGTTGGCCCCAATAAATTCTGCTGTACATGCTTGTTTTCAATTCATACCGGGGAAAAAATGCTTCAAAGAAATGGGGAAAGATGAACTGTACTCATTGTTTTAATTTGCGAAATCCAACAAAGAAGCAAAAGGTGCGCATTAATCAACGAACAACATAAGTAGTTTGCAGTGGCTACGCTCGCTCAAGGACCAAATAGATCAACTGGCTCGCTGGTACGAATTCTTGCTAGACTTTGACTTCGAGTGCCAGTATCGTCCGGAACGCAAACATGATAATCCGGATGCGCCGTCCCGATGGCCCCATACTGACCCGTGGATTAGATGGTCCTTCCGCGAGAGCCTGCACAATCACTGTATCTAAGCCTACCCGTTATTCCTGGACGACATATCGAAACACGGGCACTGGCAACGCTATGATATACTGTCATTTGGCTCAGGACCTTCCTAACACGTCGGAACAGAAGATGAGAGGCTTAAGCCAGAGCGCATTGTTAATGTTTAACCAGTGGCCTTTTCTGGCCATCCTAAATGACATCACTTTCCTCCGTGATCTACCTCGTTATATGCGCCGAATAGTTCCCGTCTCCTTAGTTGAGACCATCCTAAACGAGTAGCACATGTGATTGGGCCACTGTTGTCACCATCGGACAGAACAGCCTGCCCGCGCGCGTTTTTGGTGGTCACAACTACGTTCGTCCATTTACTTCTGTCAGTCACGCCCGACATGTGCCTCCTTCAAATGACCCGTCCCTTCTCCCAGTGCGCCCATGCAACTTATAACTACTGGGTTCCCCGGCGAGCGTGTCGACTTTGGCATAATCGGTCCCTACCGATCTCAGTCCGGAGTTTTGAATACATCCTCCTTGTGGTGGACTGCTTCACAAGGTGGGTCGAAGCTGTCCCACTCCTACGACAAGACGCAGAGTCCGTCGCGAACGCTATCAGCCGCACGGGGGTTAGCCGGTAGGACGTCCCCTGTGGTTCCACTCAGACTGCGGCAGCAGCTTCGATTCTCACTTTATGCGCGAATTCTGCGAGCTTTTGGAAATGTGCAAAACCTATAAAACTTCCCATCACTCAGAAGGTAACGGCCTCGTAGAGAGGACCAGCCGCATGGTAACCAGCCTGCTACGGGCGTTTGCTAAGGATGGCCACGAGCACGACCGGGACGTCCACCTGCCTCTCCGCCCTTTAGCTCATCGAGGACCAGTCCACCCATCCACAGGGTTCCCCCACTTTACTTATGGCTCGGCCGCAAACTTCATCTCCGGTAGACCAGGGCTATCCCCTTCCTACGCCTGACACAACCGCACTCCAGGACTTCGCCACACACCTTGAAGTTATTCGGTCTTCTCACAACGCGGCACGCACCTCTCTGGGCGAGGTTTCTTTCCACCAAAAGCAACAGTTCGACCGACACGCATCGGGTACCCCTTACCGATTCAGTAGCCTTGTCGTGCATCACAACTATTCACACCTCCCCCCCCCCTCACGGCGGAACCTCTTCTAAATTTCACCACCCACGACGAACACTGTTTGTGGCCCTCAAGACCCTCGTCCTGACCAATCTTTTCCTCCGTGAGGCCGTCCACCCAGACCCACCTCCTTTTAAGCCTCATTTCTCTAAACTCAAACCCCACTGAGGTCGCTCCCGATCTTCACCCCGGGCTCCCTACCCATCCTCTCCGCAGACCAAGTACCACCAGTGGCCAGCGAATTATCCGTACCCTTCCCATTCGAGCACACCAGCACTAATAACAGTGTCCCATATCAAAGGGGAGCTGTGTACCGGAGAGTTAATTTAAACAGAGTTTTTCCTTCGGCCCTTTTCTTTCAGAATTACGCTCCACGGACCCTGGACGGTCGCTATTTTTCCGCACGCCAGTAAAGTCCCGAATTTCATTTAGCCATTATTCTGTCCACCGAACCCGTCTTTTTGCACACTTTAGCCTAGTTTATTATCGTGGTTTAGTGTTGTATTTTGTACTCGGGCCTTTTCTCATGTTTATATAGCACCTATCGTCCCACTCTGTATTCTGTTTCGGGATTGATATGGCGTTTTGCGCTTTTCATACTTTGGAGAACAAATATTTTTACGATCGCCATTTTGCGCTGATTCGTCATGTCCGAGAGCCACAGATCCCCCGCTGACTTATGTTGCGAACTAACCCGCCCTCTAGAAAAGGCTACATTGACGATACTCCGTGGCGAACCTCAGCCGACTTTCCTTACCTTTAAGGAGAAGTAGGCTCGAACTGTCCTAACCCCTTCGGCACCTACTGGTCGAAAAAAAAACAAGTCTAAGTAGGCGAAGGAAGACAAAGATGGTGGATGACGACATATTACTAAGTAAATAGCACATTACAGAAAGCAGGCGTAGAAAATTTCTAATTTCTTTTGAGGCCAAATATGAAAAAACGATCATTACTTGCCAGATTTCCCCAAGTTGCTATACTGTTAACACAACTGTAAACGGTCTTCCTGTATTTATCTATCCTAAGGTATTCTTTTTCGCATCGTTATGAATTAGTAGAGCATAAGAAATCGCTAAAAGCAATGGAGGGCAATAAGATAGGTGTACCATGGTGTGATTCGTCATAAACGTCTCGAGATATTAAACGAATATGTGGGAGAGATCTAACACCTATAGCTGTAGACCGTGGACAGTTTTGAGCGGATTTCTATTAGTCAAATAGTTAAATGATAGCAAACAGGGTATATTATCCAAACATAAATGAGGGAATTGTCAACACTAAATGGAAAAGGGGATTGGACTATCAATTCGCATTCGATACCGTGGCATCAGAAGGATACTCATGTAATCTGACTGTTGTCATAGCTCC